TTTGTAACACCTTCACATTATTTCTTTGGGCTGAGGAAAAAGATAACATCCAAAGACAAAAGAGACAGAAGAATATATCATCCCATTTAAAAATTAATGAAAATTATACACATGCATGTATGTTTGGGACGGGTGTTGAGAGTATTGATGGGTGACATTGGATGTACTTACAGCAGGGCTTACAAAGCACTCAAATCTCCTAAACCTACACCCTATTTTATTCTTTATTCTTTTCCTCTAAATTCTATCAGAATTTTAAAATGTTCTCTTCTGCCTTACAAATTTGATTTAACCATGACAGTTAAACTGATATACATTGCCACCAATCTGGTTTTTGTTCTGCCATTATTTTCAACTACATAGAATCTCTCTTTATCCAAGTTTTTTTAAAAAAATTTTCTCTCTTTTTCTTTAGATGCTCTATTCTGTTGAATCACACAGATAACATGAATCAGGAATTGTGCCCTTTTCAATTTCACAGAACGCTATCTACTCTGATGCTTTGTTGTCTTATTTGGGACTGGAATATTCTCTCCCAGGTCTGGTATAACATTTCTACTTGCTTATCCTTACACCAAGAGATCCACTGGTTTGTAGCTGAATTTGACATTAAAAGAGAGTCTGTCAAAGACTGATGTGGAACTCTGCCCAATTCCCTCATATTTAGACAATAGGGAAAGGGAAAATATAAATCTACTATAAATTATCATGACCAATCCACAAAACAGCAGCAGGAGGAAATGGAGTACAAGCTGAACCCTGGGTGGGCTCCAGCACAGATCTGAATCTTAGTATCATTCATTCTCTGTGCTTAAAGAACTGCCATGCTGGCTCCTACCTCTCAGGATAGCCAATTTCTGTTTGGCTAAGCTAGGGCCAAAGATGAGTGATAGCGTTTTCTGGCAAGAGTGATCTCTCTCTCCCCGACAATGCTGTCATTCAATTTATTACTGCTCATCTTTCAAATACAAAATCAGACTCATCCACAATTGCAGGTGGCTTCATGTGTGTTAATATACATGATATAGACAGCGAGACCACCTTTACTTCCCCTTTTCTCTACTCAGTTGCTTGCTTGGGATACTTCTTTCTTATAAGAAAGATTTTCAAGTTAGTCTTCTACAGAGCTTCATTATATTTAATTAGAATTTTTTATTGATATCTAGGAGGTGCCCATTATAATCTCTATTTTCTGCTCACAATCTCCTGGCCAGAAATCACTCTTATTCAATTCTACACTAGTGTTGAACATCACTTTCAGACTCTTACAACTTCTTTTCCTTTCCTTCCCTTAAAAACAAAACAAAACAAAACAAAACAAAACAAAAAAACTCTTCCAAGCAAATTGAAATTTCTTCAGAGACTTAAAAGCAAAGCACGGCCCCTTAGATATCAAGAAGTTTGTAAAATTAGATGAACTGCTGCAGTAACTGCAGCTGGTGTAGCAGCCATACTCATCCTTTTTTATTCACTGATTTGTGCAGTAAGTAGTTATTAGTTACCAAATATCCAAGTTCCACGCTAGGCACTCGGAATGATTTTTTAAAAACAGATTGCTTTAGGAGGTTGAGGCAAGAGGCTCCGAGAGAGTTCAAGGCCTGCCTGGGCATCACAGACCAGTTTAAACTACACAAAGATACCCTGTCTCAGAAAAACAAAATAACAAAAAATAGATGGATCTATCAAAATCTGTGGCATGGACAACAATTCAATGGTTATAAGTGAGGCATTAAAAGCAATAAAGATGGATTATAAGAACCTAGGAATGGTGACCTTTAATAGTGCTGCTATAATGCAGATGACTAATGCATTCTGTCACTAATGCAAGATACATGAGATAATCAACTTTTAAAGAGAAGACTTATTCTGGTTCAAAGTTTGAGAGATTCCAGCGCATGACTGACTGGCTTTTGGGCCTGTGGCAAGGCAGCACATCATGGCAGAAGTTTTTGGTAGAGCAAAGCTGCTCACCATATGGCCAAGAGCAAATGAGTAAGGAGGATGACTGGGTTCCACAATCTTCTCCAATGGCCTAAAGACCACATCTCAGTATCATTACTCTCAGGAGAAATTCTTTAATACATGCGCCTTTGGAAGATCTTCCAGATATAAAATATTGCATTTCTCCCCTGATTACTAGAGGATCATATCCATTTCACAATGAAAAATGCATTCATCCCATCTCCAAGAGTCCCCCAAATCTTAACTGTTCCAACATAAATAAAAACTCCAGTCCAAAGCCTTCTCTGAGACTCAAGGCAAACTCACATATAAACCCCTGTAAAGTTTTTTTTTTTTTACACAAGTTCTGTACTCCCAGGATACAATGACACAACATAAACACTCTGAAAAGGAGGAATAGAAATATAGCAAGGAAATGTCAGATCAAAGCAAGACCAAAACACAACAAGGCACCTGTGTTTGGCATCTGGGGCACACTGTGACGGGATGTGGGCACCCAAGGTCTTGGGCAGTCCCATCCATATAGCTTTGCTAGTTGGTACTAATCTGGCCATTTTCTCAGGCTAGCTCTGTACACTTCCTGAAATTTCCCTTGGCACATGTTCCACATATCTGACATCTTAAACTTTCTGGGGTCTCCACTGTAGCTTTGGATTCACTCTCACAGCTCCATGCATCACCTTGTCAGCGGCTGCTTGCAGAGAATCTGTACTGTCACACATTATCTCATCTCCCAGTCTTTCCTTTGAAATCTACATGGATTTCAAAGTGGAAGTCTCCATGACCCTATAACTCTTGCTTTCTGTATGCCTGCAAAACCAGCATTAATATAATGCTAATATAGTGACACAAAGTCTACTGCCTCCATGTGCTGCGTCCTGGCTTACTTGAACCATAGCTGTTGCACCATCTGAGTCCCTTGCTGATTTAAGCTGTTCTTGCTGAGTAGGCTGATCTGGGGCTCTCTTTTCAGAAGACTCTATCCAGAACATCTTCCAAACAAATTTTCACTTTTACACCTTTGGGCCTGTGATTGGTGGGTATCTTGCTGGTTCCTGGGTGCTCTTAAGGCACATTTCTTTAATCCTAGTGGAAAGCTCTTGGAATTTTTTTTAACAGTGTTAATCATCTCTTAAGCAACTCTACCTTCCTTGGTTGTACCTTTAAAAAACATGCTCTTTTCCCAGCCAAAATTCAAGTTTTCCTAAATCTTTCTGCTCTGTTTCTTTTTGCTTCTTACTTTTTCTGTAATTCTGGCCCAAAACAGCCAGTAACACTCACGTCATAATCTGAATATTTGCTATTCTGACATTTCCTCTTCCAGGTAAATTAGTCTATCAACTTTATACTCAGTCTCCCACAAAATCTCATGGCATTAAATATACTCAACTTCGGGCTGGGGATTTAGCTCAGTGCTTCCACTGCCTGCCTTGCAAGCACAAGGTCCCAAGTTCGATCCCCAGTACCAAAAAAAAAAAAAAAAAAAAAAAAAAAAATGTATTCAACTTCTTTGCCACAGTGTAACAAAGGTAGCCCTTAGTTCAATTTCCAATAGAATATTCATTTCCATCTGAAACCTCTTGATCATAACCTTTGCTGTATTGCTGTATGCACATCTATTCAGTATTCTGGGTTCTGAGCCCTCACTAGAATCACTTATTAAACTCAGCTTATGGCATTTGAGTGTTTCTATTGCCCACTACTCCTAATGTTTCCAGATTTCTCCTGCAAATCAATTTCAGAGCATCCTCCAGAACTGTCTCAGGTATAGTCACAGAAACAGCCTCACTTCTTGGTACCAACTTTCAGTTAGTCAGCCTTATATTATTGTAACAAATATTTAATAATTTTTGTAATAACCTTTCAAAAATAAAAGGCTTCCTTTGCTTCTCGGTTTTGGAGATATTAGTCCATGGCTGTTTGACCCCATGGCTTTGGGACCTGTAGTGAGGCAGCACGTCATGGCGGTAATGCATGGGACAGAAACATTCACCTCACGGCTAGGATGTAAGCGAGAAGAGAACATGGGATCCCACTCCAAAAGCATATCCCCGCAGGCTAGAAGACCCATCAACTTGGCCCCACCTCTTAAATTTCACCCCCAACCAATAGTGACACTTTGTGGATAACCCTTTAACACATGGGCCTGTGAATGACATTTAATATTGAAACTGTAGTACTGGGAGTCCATCGTTTCAAGTTACACCTCCTGTCACATCACACTGAGAACCAAGTCTAGCACATGAACCTCTGGGGGGACACACTCAAAACATAGCAGTGAGGAACCAAATTTAAACCAAAAGAACAATGTATCACATGTTATCATACTTTGATTGATAGAAGAGATACACAAAAGACCCTTGTCAATGAAGAAGAGAACCACTTAAACACGTGAATATGAAACTGCATGAATGACTTAATATTCTCTTACTTTTAAATAATAGTATCAAATAAAAATTTAAGCCAAAATAAATAATTTAATATTATTGACAATATTTAAACAACAAAACTCAAAGAAACATCATTCCATTGGACATTAGAATTCACTTAAATGTATGATTCAAGGAAAGTGACATTTACTGAGTGGCTGTACACATGCTATCTCATTCACTCAGTCCTCCAGATAATCTCACAGAGTGAACACAGAGAAAGCCAACAATTTCCTCAAGGTCATTCAGCTAGTAAAAGTCTCAGCCAAACTCAGGCCTGATTCTGTTTAACAGCAAAGCCTATGTTCACTGTGTGTCTCTGTTTCCTTTAAAACATAAATCATACAGGGGCCCTTTACAACAAAGCTTAATTCTTCACTGACTATACCAAACTTGAGTCAGATCAATTTCTTCTGAATGTCATTAATTCCTATTTATTAAAACAATAAAAAATCACAACTTTTGTGACTATATAAGACTGTTTCCAACATAAACATAAGCATTTTACAAAGTCCTGAGCATGCCATGTCTCTGCCTCTCTCCCTTCAAATTAGTTCAGCTTAGCCAGAAAACCTTAGCAACTCAACTCAATCAACACATACCTGGGAAAGTCTTCTGCTATCCTTCTAGGTTGGTAACATTTTCTTACACCCAGAAGTTTTTCTCTAGCCTGGCTTCCAGTCTATCACGTTGAAAGTTTGAATGTTGTCAGTGTGTCCTGACAATGAGAAAAAAAGATAGGTAAATTGAAAAATCGAAAAACTCTTCTCAGATTTAAAAGAAAAGTAAGGTCACAAGGCAAACTTCTTTCCCCAAAACTGGTAAGAGCAATGGACAAATACAGATAACAACAGCTTAGCAGAGCAGAAAGCTCCTGAGAACACAGTGCTGGGATAGGAAAACCCTAGTTGTAACTGATGAACAGGACTCAGAGTAGACAAGGTTGAGAATTCCAAACTCCAGAGGAACCTAGTCATTGAGGAGGCCTCATCCTTCAGTGAGTTTTGACTCTTGCACTTACCAGAGCCTCACAATGAACATTAAGGGAGAATCCCCTTTACATTTAAAAGAGATGAAAACAATCTTGAAATGCATGATAGCACTGTGTTCTTCTTTAACGAAGTCTACACTAAGGTGGAGATATTTAGCAAGAGCATAACCTGTTCCTGTGTAATCAGAGAGTAAATGACTCAGGAGAAGGCAGATATGTGCTCATTTACAGCCCTCTCTGGGCTCCACATGGAAGAGGGAAGATACCTAACTCCAGCCATTCTAACCATGCTGTTTTAGCTTGAGGTTAAAAAAAAAAAAAAACCTGGAGAAGCATTTGTGAAATTCACAGTATAGAGGTACAGTCTTACTAAAAGACTGAGGCCTAATTATAAGTGCTGTAGTCTGGACCTTAACTGTCACCTAAAGGTTCACAGAATAATAGCTTTCTCCTCAGATGGCTTTGTTGGGAGATTGTGGAACTTTAAAGTGTGGGCTATTGGGAGGTCTTCAAGTATTTGGGTTTGCCATTAAAGGGGACAATGAGACCTTAGCCCCTTCTCCCTCTTTTTCACTCCTTGGCATGAGGTGAGTGGTTTTTTCCCTGCCATACACACCCCACCATTTCCATTTGGCACCAGAGGATTAAAATCCAAAATAGGTTTCATCTGATCGTGGACTGGAACCTCTAAACTGGTGGTGAAAATAAACCTTTTCTTTTTGTAAATTGATTGTCTCAGATATTTGTTATAGTGATGGAAAGCTGACACAGTATGACTATAGGATACTTTCTCCTCTCAAATACATTCCCTTCAGATTGCTAAAGCCTGTTTATAGCAATTTTTCTACCTAGTACATCGTCTCTAGCTACCAAGAACAAAATTACAAGACATACTCAAAGAGTGGAGAACAGAGTTGCAAGAGACATAATGACAATAGGAAACAAACGCAGATATGAGATGAATGTTGGAATGATCATGCTTGGAATTTGAAATTATTATGATTCATATGCTAAGGGTCACCTTATTCCAGTAAGAATGGCTATTGTAAAAAAGACAAAGATAACAATCTCTAGTGATGATGTGGGAAAACTGGAACTCTTTCATACTGTGGATGGAAAAGTACATGAGTATAGCCATTAGGGAGCTTTTTTCCTGAAAAAAAGTAAAAGCTAGAACTACCATATGATCTAATGTTCCCACTTCTTGGTGTATTCCCAAAGAAAATGAAGTGAGTAGGTTAAAGGGATATCTCTATTCCCACATTTATCTCAACAATATTTACAAAACTACTTGCTTGTCAACTGATGAATGGATAGCAAAAATGTCACAAAGGCTCACCTGGACACACTGGGGGGTAGGTGCTCACACCCCAGCCAGAGCCCCACCCAGATGCCAGCTGCTCAGGTGCACAGGCCCCAGTGAAAGGCCTGCCTCAACAACAGCTGCACAGACACACAGACCCCAGCCAGAGGCCCATTTAGAAACCATTGGCGAGTGCATGCAGTCCCCAGCCAGAAGCTTGCTCAGATTCCAGGGACTCAGGTGCACAGGCCCCAGGCAAAGCCTCTCCCAGACAAAAGCTACATAGATGGGCAGGCCCTAACTAGAGTCAAGCCCATATACCATCCCAAGTGTGTACAAGGTCCAGCCAGAACCCCAAATGGACAACTGGATAGCACAGGGATCCGTATGGCCATAATTCTTAACCCAGACATTGGTGCAGTACTGAGCAGCAGAGAAAGGCCACTTTGAGGCTTGCTGAGAATTGAAATCAGCTGGGCAAACAGTGGGTGAGCAACAAAGACCTAACAGACTGCATCTGTTGAAATGAGAAGACACATAAATAATATTAAAAAACCAGACTTCCAGATCACCAAAGGCAACCCCAAGGGGCAAAGAGATGGAACAATCCAATACTCAACAACCTGGACTCCCTGAACTGGCAACAAAACAGGATCTGGAAAAAAATAAAATCAGAAATAATTTCTCAACACCAGTAAACAACATGATTAGTTACTCTAGAGCAGACAGATTTAAACAAAAAAGAAGAGCTGAGGGACACAACGGAGTGTCAGCATAGGAAACAAATGAAATCCATAAAACAGATGCAAACACATATCCAGATAAAAAACTCTTCTGAAAGTTTACACAGCAGAATGAACCAATATGAGGGCAGAATTTCAGAAATAGATGAGAGGATTGCAATTAGTGACCAGGAAATCAAAATTTTCTTAAAAATAGTAAGGGAAAATGAAAAATAAATTCAGCAACTTCTTGATGCAAAGAAGAATAACATAAGACTGGTCAGAGTCAATGAAGAAACAGGAGGGAGTGCAAACAACATAAATAAAAAAAGTCCATAGAAGTAATGGCAGAAAACTCCCCAATCAGGGAAAAATAATTTGACATACAGATAAGTGAGGCATATAGAACTCCAACTAGCCATGATCAAAAAGTCTACACCTAGGTATATAATAGTCAAAATTCCAGAAACTCGACAGAAGAACAAAATATTATAAGCAGTTAGAGAAAAGAAACAAATCACATACAAAGGAAATCCTATCAGAATCACGGCATACTTGTCACACAAACCCTCAAGTCAAAAAGAGCCTGAAGTGAAGTATTTAAAGTCCTGAAAGAAAACAACCTCCAACACAAATTGAAGTATACTCCAAAACTACCTTTTAAAATTAATGGAGAAATAACATATTTTCATGACACAGGAGACCCGAGGAACTTCATGAATACCAAACTAGCACTCCAAAAAATTTTAAACAATATCCTAGGAAAAGACAATGAGAATCACAACCCCAGGAAGCCCAGGAAAATGAATCCATTAGGCAAGACAAGAAATTAAATCCAAAGGCAGAGAAACCAAAAACAGGAAAAGGTCATGAAAAGGTTAAGTAAATACATATCAATAATAATCATCAATGTGAATGGTCTCAATTCACCAATCAAAAGAGACTGGCAGAATGGGTCAAGAAGCAAGATCCAACACGATGCTGCACACAAGAAACACACTTAATTGAAAAAGATACTCATAGACAGAAAGTTAAAGGGTGAAAACAATACTCCATGTAACAAGAACCTGAAAAAAAGCAGGAATAGCTATCCTATTAGCAGACAAAATGGATTTCAAACCAATACTAATTAAGACAGACAAAAAAGACCACTATATCCTTGTAAACAATCTAAGAGGAAGAGACGACAATCATAAATATATATCCAAATACTAATGCACACAATTATATAAAACAATATTGACAGACATGAAAAATCAGATAAGCACTAATATAATAGTGGGGGACATCAATATCCCACTCTCAAAAATAAATAGGTCAACTAGACCAAAAATAAACAACAAAATACTAGATATAGCTCAACCAAACTCTTGAACAAATGGACTTAATAGACATCTACAGAGTGTTCCACCCCACAAAGGCAGAATACACATTCTTCTCAGCTGCACATGGGTTATTCTCCAAAATAGACCACATACTTGCTCATAAAACATGCTTAAGTAAAAACAAAGGAATTGGAGTTATCCCCTGTATATTATCAGATCATAGTGTGAGGAAATTGGAGATCAATAGCAAAAGAAACCACAAGAATTTCATAAACCCATGGAAATTGAGAAACACACTTCTGAACAACCAATGAATCACAGAGGAAATTAAGGAAGATATCAAACAGTTTCTATAATTAAATGACAATGTCAATACAACATATCTGAATCTATGGGACACAATGAAAGCAATCTCATGAGGGAAATTAATAATAGTGAATAATCATATTAGGAAAACAGAGCAAGCTCAAATAAATAGCCTAATGCCAAACCTCAAGATTCTAGAAAAAATAAGTTTTTACAAATAAATGATAATGACAATACAACATGCAGCAATATATAGGACACAATGAAAGCAGTTCTACATGGAAAATTCATAGCAGTGAATGCAAACAGAATACAGAGGGTCATCAAGAAGATCATACACCCTGACCAAGTCAGATTTATCCCAGGGATGCAAAAATGGTTCAACATATGTAAAATCAAATATAGTCAATAGACTATATTAGCAAAGTCAAGGACAAAAACCATATGATCATCTTAATAGATGCAGAAAAAGCATTTGATAAAATTCAACACCCATTCATGATAAAAACCCTGAAGAAAATTGGAATAGTTGACCTTTATCTCAACATGATAAAGGTTATTTATGAAAAACCAACAGCCAACATCATACAAAATGGCCAAAGAAAATGAAAACCTTCATGCTAAAATCAGGAACAAGGCAAGGAGGTTCACTATCACCACTCCTGTTCAAAATAGTTTTGGAAATATTAGCCACAGCAAATAGATATGAGAAACTAATAAAAGCAACAAAGGTAGGAAAGGAAGAAGTTATGTTACTCTCTGTAGAATATCCAAAAACCTCTGCCAAAAGACTTCTAGACTTAATTGACAGATTCTGTACAGTAGCTGAAAACAAAGTAAACACTCAAATATCAGTAGCTTTCTTGTACACAAATACCAGAATTACTGAGAGAGAAACTAGGGAAATAAGTCATTTCACAACAGTACCCCAAAAAGTGAAATATAGGAAGCAAAAAATCTGTACACTGAAAACTACAGCACTCTGAAAAAAGAGATTAAACAGGACATAAGAAAATGGAAATACATCCTTTGCTCCTGAGTAGGAAAAATTAGCATAGTGCAAATGGCAAT